AAGTCGACCATTCTGTTTCACATTTCGGGTGTAAGATGAGTTTTCGAAAATGCCTTCAATTGAATTGAGATGAATTCATTACATTCACCACTTTCATTGCAAACATAAATTATAACTAGTTTGTGGCCAGGAAGTCCAAAGTAAAAACTGTTCAAAGCTTTTTTCACAGAAGATGCAATGTAATGGTAGGGAATTTAAGGTAGCGAGAAAGGTATCATTGCATGGACAGTTAGTCTAAATATTTTGTTGCTGTGTAAAAATTTTATCAAACTCGATATCTAACGGCAACGCATGGAATATGCTAAAATTCGATTGCCTTTTTTATACACACTACTTGTACTGCTTAACTGTACACAAAAGTGGAAAGTCTAAGAGTCTAAAAGTCTAAAAATAGTAACTGTTCCTAAATCGTGATTCATATGTACAAGATAGGTGTCATGTAGAAGGTAAAATTCATAGTACAAGAGCATGCTACAGTTGGGTTGCCTTTTTTATACGACCTTACCTTAAACTATCCTTGATATAACAGCAGTCTTGCAATTCAACCAACTCCATTACAAAATCAAATTCATCTGGTAACCACATCTTTGTTCCTTCTGAGCTGCTGCCAGTCCAGTGGAATTTGCTCTTCATCCTTGGGTCCATTTCTGAACATTTCGTTAGCAAGTCGTTCACCAAACTGAACACTTGCTGAGCAAGTAAGCAGTGCTCTTCTCCACACGCCTTCGTCAAGTGAAATTCCAGGCTGTTCTCCTCACACAAACGCAACAAAGAAGCCTCATTTATCTGTGTTGTAAAATTTTCGGCTATTTTCGGTTCGGGACTCAAATCAATCTCCCAAAAGCACGGATCATATGGTCTAGTTGTGAAATACAAATCATTGCCCTCTATCGCAACAAGTTTTGCTACCGTATCAAGCTTGGTTGTCGTCCATTTCACGTTCGATCCTAAAAGGATAACGCTTGTTCCACCTCGCTTCTTTGATTCAAGTGAGGGCATGCTGTTACTTCTTTGTAGTTGCCTAAGCGCACCAGAGTGCCTTTGGGTTTGGTTATTGAAATGCAACGAGTTATTGTTAATGTTGTTGCTGTTGTTGTTGTAGCTGTTGTCATTGTTGTTGTTGCTGTTGTTGTTGCTGTTGTCGTTGTTGCTGTTGTTGCTGTTGTTGTTGTTGCTGCTGTTGTCGTTGTTGTTGTTGTCGTTGTCGTTGTTGTTGTTGTTGTTGTTGTTGTTGTTGTTGTTGTTGTTGTTGTTGTTGTTGTTGTTGTTGCTGTTGCTGGTGTTGTTGTTGTCGTTGTCATTGTAGTTAGCCAGTGCTAAACTTCTGAAAAGGAGACTTTCGCATCCAGAGTTGCCGTTGGATATTGTATTCTTAGTTTTATGTTCATCAATACGTCCCGAAGCCTGTTTCCCTCCAAAATCTCTCCGTTGACCAACTACAAATGGCCAGAGGAGCACATTCTTAGCGAATTCCCATTGCTTGCACAATACAGCGACATCCAGAGGTGTGTTACTATCACAATCCAAAATATCCAAATTTCCTCCATGCTTCAAAAAGACCTCGCAGAGTTTCCAGTCACCTTCAGCTGCAGCTAGATGAAGTGCTGTACGATTGTAATAATCTTGTACATTGAGGTTAACTTTGTACTTCGGATGAAGAATTTTAATCCACAATTGCGCGTCAAATTGGTTGGGATGAAATAAGTGACCGTATACTAAGATATGAAGCAATGGAGTGCCTGTGATGTCAAGATGATCTAACCTCGCCCCAAACTGAATAAGTGCAGTTAACAATGATCGTATCAAATGTAACATATCGGAATTTGGAAGAAGAAGAAGATGATAGATCAGCGTTCTTTCAAAAATATCCTTAATGTTTGGATCGGCTCCTTGTCGTAACATAAAATCTACCAATTTAATCTGATTATGCAAATCTCCAATACTTTGAAGGCATTTGTGTAAAGCTGTCTCACCACCATCGTTCTGGACGTTTGGATTTGCATTGAACTTGTGCAACAAATGTAGAAAACGGAGAAGATTTTCTTTCCCTTCACGTTGGTAATGCCCAAATATATGATGGTAGAAGGTATTGCCCAATTCGTTTTTAGCGTTCGGATTTGCGTTATTTTCGAGAAGAATCCTTAGGATTTCCATATTATTCCATGTGCAATGATGCAAAGGTGTACTACTCGTCCGATCAGTGCAATTCACATCAACTCCGACTGAAATTAGGTATCGTACAATTTCAAGGCATCCCCAAGTAACTGCTCTGTGCAGAACAGTTGATTGTGAAATATGGTCTTTCCTAGTTAAGTCCAGGGCTTCATTTTTCATTATTTTTAAAATTTCTAAGTCATCCTTTTCAGTAATTTGTATTTCGTTCGGTCCGCAACGAAGAGGCGGATCAAGGACGAAATGTAGAGATGAAATTCCTTTAGTTGTCTTCGATGTCAAATCGGCTCCGTGGGTCAACAATAAGTCAACAATTTCGTGTTGTCCCAGCGAAACGGCTAGATGGATGGCAGAATAATCTCCCCATTGTCTATACCTGTTTCTTGTAATTTCATCCAACCTCAATCCTTTCATACAAGTAAATGCATTGACCGTAGCACCGTCCTTCAATAGTTCCTCGACTAAATAGGCTGAGCGGAATTTATGAATCGCTGAACATAATGTAGGAATTCCGAAACAGTTTTTTGAATTTTGTGCATTTTCTTTTCTGATCTCATCTAAGTATTCTTCTGGTGATTCTTTGCGTAAAACAAGCATTGTTTTATTGTTTTTGAGCGAAAGGTATATGCTGTAAATATGTTTCCAACAAAATATATACTACATCTATTAATTCAAGTCTGTTTTCAACTTCAAAATTCACGTAGCGTATTCTATTGTTTTGGAATTGACGGTCTGTCCTCGAACGGGAAAGAATTACAGAACGCCAAAGTTAAAACTCAAATCTGTATGGACTTTTTAAATCAACGAATTGTTATCCACCACGGTTCTTTGGCTTTGAAGATCGATTTAGTCGTGATTTTTTAAATTATATCAGTGGATTTTTAATGCCATGTATACATACCTGATGCCCGCTTTGCAAAAGTGGTCTCAGGTGAAAATCCATAACGATTTGAGAATTTTTAACACGTTTATTTGTTTCGACACTAATAAACTGTACAGACGTTTCGTGCATTGTGAAAGTCTGATGCCGTATTATTTTATATATCGAAACACGGCGTTGACGTCTTGATTTTTTTTGACATACCGGATGCGATATTTTTTACAAACGACAGTCATGAAATACATCGATTTCAATATCTTTTCCTGATCCCTAAATATAATTTGTCATGTGAAAATTCGGAAGTGCGAATGTCTTAATCTCCCAAAGGACAGATGATACACAGTAATTGATGTAAACTGTTGTGGTGTCCCGTCTCTTGTTCTATCTCGTGTATATGAATTATTGTACTTGTATTGTGTACTTTTTTTCCAAGGCGAAGCTAAATAAATAAATTTAGTAGTTCAGTACAGCCATCTATAGTCACGATTCAGTCATCAGAATGTTTCTCGGAAATGCACTACTCGTAATTTATTTGCCGATAATGCTGTCGGAAATGAAATTATCGGCGTCAATTTTTTGCCAGTAGTTATTGAATTCTTTTTATATACTATAGTCTATATATGTTAGAAAAGATGTAACTAAGATTTTTATTCTTTCAGAAATACCTTTTTCAGAAAGCGGTATCAATTTCCCGTGCGTATAATACAAAATGACTGAAAAACGGCAAACTTCGCAGGGCTATATTAATCATAGATATAGGAGATCTAGATTGCTAACGCATACCTAGCGCAGGCGGGGCCTACATGATAAATCCAAGATGGCGGTACAACAGGGCAAAAAGACTATAGATTCTATTACGAAAATCAGGATTTTTTCATTTTTTTGCCGTCGCATTGTTTTGAAACTTATTCCGTCAAATTTTATGGTAAAGAGAAACTTACCGCGAAGATTTTGAGCATATATATGATTGAATTGGATGAAAACTCGCAAAGTTATCCAGCGATAAAGGTTCGTGTGAAATGGTCAGTTGGTCAGTTGGAGCGTTTTATTGCCAGAAATGCTGTGTTATGTTAACATCTAGCCTTGCGAATGGTGTTTTATACTTGCATCTCTCATCATCATCTGCTCTTTCCTCATTTATGAAAAATGAACTGTTATGTACCCCCCCCTCCTTGCTTGTTAGAGAAGTAAACTGATGAGAGCACTGGATGAGGGTCTATCATCTATGATCTGTTATAATTTGCTTTCTATGCAAATAGTGAGCAAAATTTAAAGCCAAACTGTACAAGTTACATATATAGTACTATAACAGTACCATACACGAACTTTTATCGCTGGATAATTTTGCGAGTTTTCATCCAATTCAATCATATATATGCTCAAAATCTTCGCGGTAAGTTTCTCTTTACCATAAAATTTGACCGCACAAGTTTCGAACCAATGCGACGGCAAAAAATGCAAAAATCCTGATTTTCGCAATAGAATCTATAGTCTTTTTGCCCTGTTGTACCGCCATCTTGGATTTATCATGTAGGCCCCGCCTGCGCTAGGTATGCGTTAGCAATCTAGATCTCCTATATCTATGATATTAATACCAGTGTATATTATCCGCATTTTACAACATTTCGTAACGAAACTTTGGAATATTACTAATTTTGTGATGCTCTTTCAAGCTGTGATGAAATGTTTGTCTAGACTTGTCTATAGATCAAAATTCTGTTCATTAGGGAATAGGTCCAATAAGGTTGTCCTTTCGAAGTCGAAACTCACGATGGCCCTCGTACAGTATGTAATTGATATTCCGAACACTCCGTTCCACAAGCCGTTTTGGTAGCGGCATTCCCGTTGATTTTCATATTTCTCGGATTTTATTTGCTCGTCTAACCCACAATTTCCCTTATAACTAAAATTTCGATCTAGACAAAAATTTCATCACAGCTTGAAAGAGCATCACAAAATTAGTAATATTCCAAAGTTGTAAAATGCGGGTAATATAGCCTTGCGAAGTTTGCCGTTTTTCAGTCATTTTGTGTTACAAATGGGAAATTGACATCTGATTCGGGTGTTGGGGCTGCAATTTCCCGTTTGTAATGCAAAATGACTGAAAATTGGAAACATCGCAAGGCTCTATTTTCCTCATTTTACAACATTTCGCAACGAAACTTTGGAATATTACTAATTTTGCGATGCTTTTTCGAGCTGTGATGAAATATTTGTCTAGACGCGCCTAGATCAAAATTTTGGTTATAGGGGAAAGGTCTATTAAGTTCACTTGATTAGCGTAGCGTAATGCGCTCAAGCTGCGTGGTTCACATACACCTCTGCGGTATGCCTGCGCAGTATCATTGTTTACGGCTGTTGATGCATACATTCTTTTGTGAATTATTTGGTTGAACCACGGTTAATAACCACAATAGCTCGCCGACATACCGCAAATCAAAGTCTGGACAACCTTTAATTGAATTAATACTAATAGCTGTGTTATGCCGTTCGATTGAACGCCGGTTTGTTAGGACTTTCGCCTGTAGTAACGGCATCCCAGAGGTTTCTACTGTATATGCTCATACATGTGAAACTGGTTGACCAGACGATTCCATTTGTGAAGATGTCATCAGCTCTAAGTCCTGGCCCCAATAAGTTGGCTGCGAACTACTCGCAATTAAACGAGTATCAAATGATAATGGGCAAGGATTTCTTTTCAAGTTTAAATAAAGAACATGGCGGTTGCTTGAGAGTTCTAGACATGGGCTGTGGTACTGGTGAATTGACAGCCTTTATTGCCGACACGGTAGGCGATAACAGCGACGTCGTTGGAGTTGATCCTATCTCGGACAGAATAAATATCGCCTTTAATAAAAATTATCGTGAAAATCTTACTTTTATACACGGCGACAGTTCGAGTCGATTCCCTCATTATAACGAAGCCTATTATGATTTGCACTTCAGTAATTTGGTGATCCAATGGCTAAATTCTCGAGAGAAAGAAATATTTATTAATACCGCGTTCAGAATTCTCAAGGCTGGAGGAAGATTAGCCGTTCATTCGCTCGAGGAACAGAGCGAGATTTTAGCCACGGCGCTGGACCTACTTTTGAACGATGGAATCACGAAGAGCAAGCAGCCCGTAGCAGAATATTTTGTGAACAGGGCAGAGTTCGAAAAGATGTTAAAACGGGCCGGTTTTGACATAATTTCCAGCGAAAACAAGCCGGCTAGTTATAAGTTTGAGAATTTGGATCATTTTTTGAACTGGATACGCGCGACGTATTATATTTCTGAAAGTAAATTGTGCGGAAGAAAAATGGAGGAATTTCTGCAAAAGTTTGCCAACCACGATGGCACGGTCACTATTTCCGAACCCTCAGTCTATCAAATCATTGCTATGAAACCTCAATAACTGTAAATTACTATTAATACATATCGAACTAATTTGCGCGGTTCAGAGTTTTCTGAACCGCGCAAAGGCCCTGGGGACGAGGTTGCTACTACACATGTTTTCGGGCAAAGGAAAACTTGACAAGTATGCAAGAAATACTTCTACCTACGGGTTTGCAGGGCGCGAAATAACGGATAGAGGGTCGCCAATCAAGGTGACCGGCCAACTCAGTTTTAGCTCGGCAATACCGAATTTCTGACTGGTCAACTTATTCAGCAGTAAAGTATATACCCCTGAAAATTTCCAGTATAACATTACAAAAACCTTACTGTAATCAGTAATTAAAAACTCCTTCACACGAAACAATGCCGTAAAAACATGCAATGCCGTAAAAATATGGCCTTAACTCTTAAGCCAAAAGCATGACCATGAAATGGGCTTTGTGACGTACTGCGTGCATGTGAAAGCTTGGCGTGCATTGAAGTTCGTTTGCCGCAAAATATTCGACAACATGTTATGGTTCTTAATTATAATACTTGACAACTTTATTTTGATTATTCAAATTCAAATGAAGATTATAGTTTGTTCTTTTACCGAAAGTGAACGGTCAAAATGACCGGCAAGGTAAGAATTTGACCGGACAACTCCGCATTCTGGCCGGACATTGTCCGTTTACCGGCCGTTATTTCGCGCCCTGGTTTGGCAAACAAAACGCGCCCTTGGCGTGAGATATGATATGTTTGACGACATTCATTTCCATGAATACGAGTAGGAAAACTTGTCAAGGAAAACTTGTTGACTGTACACACGAGAAAGTAAACTTGTCAAGGAAAACTTGTTGACTGTACACACGAGAAAGTAAACTTGTCAAGGAAAACTTGTTGACTGTACACACAAAAAAGGAAACTTGTCAAAGAAAACTTGTTGACTGTACACACGAGAAAGTAAACTTGTCAAGGAAAACTTGTGGACTACACACACGAGAAAGTAAACTTGTCAAGGAAAACTTGTTGACTGTACACAAGAGAAAGTAAACTTGTCAAGGAAAAGAAATAATAGATATCTATTTTTATTATATGGGGTCATGAAATGGACCTCAATGCAAAATTGAAATCGTTTTGAACGTACACGCGTAAAAACGCACAAGTTGTTACAAGTCTGCAAGCAAGTTGTTACAAATCTGTCCACAAGCTGTCGACAAGTTGTGTTCGCACTGCTTGTTCCCAGTTGTTGTAACAAGTTTGGAACAAGTGGTTAACAGCTTGTAACAAGCTTGATAGCATTATTAGACTTGCTACAAGGTTGTTCTAACAAATCTGATGCAGTCATGATATAACAAGAATGTCACAAGGTTGACCAAACAAGGTTGTAACAATATTGTTATATCATGACTGTATCGGACTTGTTGGAACAACCTTGTAACAAGCCTGATAATATCAACAAGGTTGTTACAAGTTGTTCACAGCTTATTCCAAACTTGTCGACAACTTGGGACAAGCAGTGCGAACACAACTTAAATTTGTTGACAGCTTGTTGACAGCCCTTGCTTACAAGATGCGAGACTTTTCCGTGTGTGAGCGAATGTATGGGGAAAAACTAAATTTTTAAAACGCCGTAACTCGCAAACATCTCCCTGAATGTGCAAACAACGTGAAATTTGTGAACAGATTTGTAAAAACTTCTTTGTAGACTTGTAGCAAAGTTGTTCTAACAAGTCTGATGCAGTCATGATATAACAAGAATGTTACAAGGTTGATGACACAAGATTGTAACAGTGCCGCTATGATGACTGTATCGGACTTGTTGGAACAACCTTGGAATAAGTCTAATATTATCAACAAGGTTGTTACAAGGTTGTTATCCCGCTTGTATATGACAGAGAACAGAAGGACTTGATATTTTTCTATAAATGCATGTACGGTCTCACAGATTTTGACATATCGCAGTATGTTGAAGTTACAACGGGAAGGACACGCGCGGCCACTTCTGGTCTTCTGAGAACACAAGCATGCAAAACAAGTACATTTCAAAGTTCGTATTGTGTTAGAATTGTTAAACTGTGGAACTATGTTTGTACGTCTGCTCCTTCGTATTGTTATGTCACTGTCTCCTCTTTTAAGTCATACTTGCGCAAGACTTACATCCACCTCACTAGTACTTCCTACACTCCAGACTTACCTAGTTCACACTCACTTATCACGACTCAATAAAAAAATCTAACATTTCTCTCTTTGTCTTTTCATTCTTTCTGCCTTTTCATTCTCTTAGTCTTTTCATTTAATCTTCCTTGTCTTTGTTTCCTGTCTTTGTTTGTTGTCTAGTGGTGAGCACCTTGCATGGGACATAGTCTCGTTTGTGTTTCGCCACTTTTGGCACTTTCCTCGTCTTCTTGTACAATGTAATTGTCCGTTTAAGTTATGTAAATATTCAGTTTTTTATGTGCCAAATTAAAGTTGTTAAATTACAAGTTGTTAACAGCTTCTTCCAAACTTGTTGGGACAAGCAGTGCGAAGACAGCTTGTTGACGGCTTGTTGACAAACTTGTTACAAGATGTGAGATTTTTGCGTGCGAACTTGAGACAAGCAGTGCGAACACAACTTGTTGACAGCTTGTTGGCAGACTTGCTACAAGATGCGAGACTTTTCCCGGTGTAAGCAAATTCCTGTCAAATGTATGTGAAAAAACTATTTTTTTAAAACTAGTTGAATGTGCAAACAACGTGAAATTTGCGGTATAGACTAATTTTTAGCATGACGATTTCAATTCTGAACTCCGTTTTTGGCCAAAGTCTGTAGATAGTGAGATGGGAAATTGATGACGACATCTCGGATCCGAGAATTACACACGCAAAAATCTCACATCTTGTAGCAAGTCTGCCAACAAGCCGTCAACAAGTTGTGTTCACACTGCTTGTCACAAGTTGTCAACAAGTTTGGAACAAGCTGTTAAGAACTTGTAACAACCTTGTTGATATTATCAGACTTGTTGCAAGGTTGTTCCAACAAGTCCGATACAGTCATGATATAGCAGTATTGTTACAACCTTGTGTCGTCAACCTTGTAACATTCTTGTTATATCATGACTGTATCAGACTTGTTAGAACAACCTTGTGACAAGTCTGATAATGCCATCAAGCTTGTTACAAGTTGTTAACAGCTTGTTCCAAACTTGTTACAACTGCTGGGAACAAGCAGTCCAAAGACAACTTGTCGACAGCTTGTGAACAGATTTGTGACAACTTGTTTGCAGACAACTTGTGCGTTTTTACGTGTGTACTAATGTCAACAAGATGTGTTCCGAACAGGTTTGTAGCAAGCTTGTCAACAAGCTGTAACAATGCTGTTATTTTATCAAGTTGCTACAAGGTTGTCATTCACAACTTGTTGTCAACTTGTTGAATTGCAGGACGATAACAAGTTGTTGGAACAACTTGTAACAAGTCTGTTGAGATCAACAAACATGTAGCAACAGCAGACTTGTAGCAATGCTGTTCCAACAACTTGTCAACAGGATGTGTTCGCACTGCTTGTTCCCAGCTTGTTGACAAGTTGTCAACGGCTTGTTGACAACTTGCTACAAGGTTGTTGAGCTCAACAGACTTGTTACAAGTTATTCCAACAACTTGTTATCGTCCTGAAATTCAACAACTTGTCAACAAGTTGTGAGTGACAACCTTGTAACAACTTGATAAAATAACAGCATGGTTACAACTTGTTGACAAGCTCGCTACACACGCAAAAATCTCAAATCTTGTAACAAGTCTGCCAACAAGCCGTCAACATGATGTATTCGCTCTGCTTGTTACAAATTGTCAACAGGTTTGGAACAACTTGTTGACAACTTGTTGACAACTTGTAACAACCTTGTCGAATTTATCAGACTTGTTGCAAGGTCGTTTTGACAAGTCCGTACATGCTTGATATAACAAGATTGTTACAACCTTGTGTTGACAACCTTGTAACATCCTTGTTATATCATGGCTGTAACAAACTTGTTAGCACAGTCTTGTAACAAGCCTGATAATGCCATCAAGCTTGTTACAAGTTGTTAACAGCTTGTTCCAAACTTGTCACAACAAACTGGGAACAAGCAGTGCGAACACAACATATTGACAGCTTGTGAACAGACTTGTAACAACTTGTTTGCAGACCTGTAACAACTTGTGCGTTCTTACGTGTGTACAAGCCTGTTGCGAACACGTCTTGTGAAGAGTTGTGAGAATTTTAAGTGTGTATGAGACGCACAAGTTGTCACAAGTCTGCAAACAAGTTGTTACAAATCTGTTCACAAGCTGTTGACAAGTTGTGTTCGCACTGCTTGTTCCCAGTTGTTGTAACAAGTTTGGAACAAGCTGTTAACAACTTGTGACAAACTTGATGACATTATCAAGTTACAAGGTTGTTTTAACAAGTCTGATACAGTCATGATATAACAAGAATGTTACAAGGTTGACCACACAAGGTTGTAACAATACTGTTGTATCATGACCGTATCGGACTTGTTGGAACAACCTTGCGACAAGTCTGATATTATGAACAAAGTTGTTACAAGTTGTTAACAAGTTTTTCAAACTTGTTCATAACTTGGAGCAAGCAGCGCGAACACAACTTGTTGACGGCTTGTCAACAAAGTCGTAACAACGCTGTTATTTCATCAAGTTGCTACAAGGTTGTCACTCACAACTTGTTGACAAATTGTTGAATTGCACGACAACAGGTTGTTGCAACAACTTGTAACAAGTCTGTTGAACTCAACAACCTAATTGTAGCAAGTTGTCAACAAGCCGTTGACAACTTGTCAACAAGCTGGGAACAAGCGGTGCGAACACATTCTGTTGACAAGTTGTTGGAACAGCATTGCTACAAGTCTGCTGCAGGTTTGTTACAACTTGTGTGTTTTTACGTGTGTAAATATCTGGTGAGACGGGAAATTGATGAGGATATCTCGGATCGGAGAGAATTACTGTATATTGCGCAATAAATGGATCACATGTCACAAATATGCATAATGGGCTCACCGAAGCACATTTTTCTGTCTTTCCTCGTTATTTTGCATTTTACGGAGCTCATCTTGTGTGTTCAAGTGTTCAACTATACTTCGTGCAAACGACAAGCCTTTAGCTCCGATTCTTTCGTTTGTGTTTGTACGGAAAGCTATTGCGATGGCTTTAATAACATGGAGTCCAAGCCTTTGGCAAATAATAATTTTGCAGTTTATACTTCGTCCAAAGACGGCGCGAGATTTGAGTTGAACATTGACGAGATCTCGCCACATTCAAGCGAGAGTGTTTTGTTGTTGCATGTCGACGAAACTCAAAAATACCAAGAGATTATTGGTTTTGGTGGAGCTTTTACAGGTATATTGTATTTATATGTCACTATTAAAAACTGCAAATAACTAAAGCTATAATTTGCTGAATTTGAAGGCTATATAATACTGTAATGGTTCTATGGTGCTGTGTATTATTATGCCACTGTTGGTCTATGGTACCTTGGTATAAACTCGAACACCGAGCAGTCTTCATGTATTTTGGAAATTTTTCACGCAGTTGAATTCCTCGATCTTAATCTGCCGCTTCATATATATGGTACTTTGGTGCTTCAGTGCTGATACAGTCTATGGTTCTGTAAGCTTTTGTGACTGTTTAGCACCATGGTACTACAGTACTTAAGGCCCATGCAGTCTAGGCAGCAAATTGTCATGTGCCCGAACCTAATACAACGATTAAGTAAGATAAAAGAGAGCAGCGTCTAAATTTTGTTTGGCAAGTTTTGATTAGGTTCGACAGAGCACAAAATATGGCAAGTCATGTCATATTAATATGTGACACAGGTTTGACACTGTGCTTGTCATGCGCCAAACCAGATATAGTGTACTTGTACTGTATTTTGGCATTGTAAAATTAAGTCCGATGGTTAAATTAGTTGCTGAACTTGTGCCATAATTGATTTGATTCTTCTAAACCGGGCTTGATGGTTTAGTAGTTATTTTTCTGTGATTCAATCTATGGTAAATTAAATTTGCGTTCATGGATAGATGCTGCCACAATGATCATTAGAAATCTAAGCAATGTCCTTCAAGATCACTTAATCAATTCTTACTACTCTCCCGATGGCATCGAATATAATATCGGCCGAATACCTATGGCGAGTTGCGATTTCTCTACCAGAATATACACCTATGATGATGTTTCTGGAGATTTCAACCTCACCCATTTTAATCTGGTCTCCGAGGATTTAAATTTCAAAATTCCTGTGATTAAAACTGCACTTACTCGAAGTAAAAGAGAGATCAAATTGTTCGGCAGTCCATGGTCAGCTCCGGCCTTGATGAAAAACAGTAACAATACTGTAGGAGGACAGCTGATTGGGGTGGCTGGTGATAAATATCATAAAACATGGGCCGAGTACTTCGTCAAGTTCCTTGATGCTTATAAAAAGAATGGGATTAAATTGTGGGGAGTTACTGTGGAGAATGAGCCCAGTGCTGGTTATGTGCCGGGGTAAGTGCTAAAATTGTTGCAGGGGGAGTAGGGGAATTTTGCTACACTGGGTAATTTTTGTTTGTGTTTCAGACAATGTTGCCTTTCCTCATTGTGTTGCAGTATGTACTGGTACTGTAAAGCATGCACAAAGTCTTTTGTGTTTTCAGGCAAATACAATTACAACCAGACTCCTTTAGTTGATCTTGGAGGCATCCTAGTATTTAAGATGCCTTGATCAGTATCAGAATGACTTAAATGTTGTTTTGACAAAGGCATAACCCGGCTGGATCTATAGTTCAACGGAATCAACCGCATTTCTGACATTTTTACAAACGAAGGATACAGTGGATAGTGCTGGGAGTCTTTGTGGTTAGCGACATCTCATCTTTTCTCCTCAATTAGGAATACGAATTATTGTACATTACCTCTGAGTCTGTGCATGTGATGCAGAGTTGAATAGAATTGTAGAAATGCTTTTTTATTTTCAGCTATAAATTCCAGTGCATGGGTTTCACGGGTTCAACGGAGAGAGATTTTGTGAAGAGTGATCTGGGACCAGCCTTAGTACAAGCTGGACATAGTGATGTGAAGTTAATGATATTTGATGATAATAGACTAACCTTGCCTGCGTTTACTGACAAAGTTCTGAGTGATAAAGACACCGCAAAGTATGTGTCTGGTGTTGGTGTGCATTGGTATGAAGATTTCTTTCTGCCAGCGTCTTTTCTGAGTGATCTGCATGACAAGTAAGTTGAACTGCATTCAATTAAATTTGTTTTTGTCATTTTACATGACATAAAAAAAGAACAACAATGCAGTATGTGTTTGCAACAGGCTTGTGTAGCAAGTTTGTCAAAACGTTGTACAATATAGACTTTATCAACAAAGATAATGGTATAATAAACAGTGTGAACACATCCTGTTACAAATCAGAAGAACCTATGGTATAGCAGTGGTGGATCCAGCAAAGTTTTTTTTTTGGGGGGGGGGGTGCTAACCAATGGAGAAATGAGCGGCGAAGGTGCGAGATTTCTATGGGGGTCCAGGGGCATATTCCCCTGGAA